AAGTTTTTCATTGTATGTGAAACACGCAAGACACGAATACAATTTTGCATGTCAAACCAAATGAGCACCATGATATTCATCACTTTCTGATGAGATCTGAATCATCCAGGTTCAAAACTTTTAATTTGTAAATTTATTTAAAAATATTTGTTGAGAAGTGCCAATAAGGAAATTATGTTTATTTTTGATATTTTATTAAAATAAAAAATTATAGTTATTATAAAAATTATAAAAAAATTAATATCAAATCTATATCATCTATATTAAATATAGACCATCCAAATTATTGATGAGCAAATTTATTTAAAATTTTTGTAATTTTTTTAATAAATGAATTATCAAAAATAAAATAAATGATGCAGAGTAGGCTTCCTGTCTTAATGACCGTCGATCCACTAGAGGATATTTTATTTTCTGTGGTGATATACTAGTGTCTTGGTCTTCTAAGAAACAAAGTGTTGTAGCTAGATTTCGTGCCAAGTTAAAGTATAAAGCTTTTGCTCATACAGCTTTTGAGTTGATGTGGCTTCGATCTCTTTTCGATGAATTGGGACTATTCTCGAGTGACTTGGGTAATATGGTGTGATAATATCTTAACAGCTGCTTTGGCTTATAATCCTGTGTTTCATGCTTGAACGAAACATATCGATACACTCTTTATTCATAATTTAGTTCTTGCAAAGAAGATAGCTATTAGGTTTGTTCCAACTGAAGGTCAAATAGTAGATATTCAAACAAAGCCATTGACATCTTCACATTTTCTTTCTTTAAAAAAAAAAAACTCAGCTTATCAATAGTAACCTCTCGTTTGCAGGGGCATGACAAAAATACTAGTCAAGCCCAAAGCAAGGTCCAAGATCATACACAGTCCAATAACTCAAGATAATAAAAAGCCTGATAGATTTATTTTCTCGTATGTATTTCACTGTTGTATTTTCTATTCATTTATGTTTGTAATAGTATAGAACCAGTGACATGGCCTTTTTACTGTAACAACCTGCTCTATAAATGATGAGATTTTCACTGTGGCCGCCTACGTTGAGCGAGTCATTTCTCATGTTGTGATATTTTCTTGATTAGGAATCAATACGATGGTGAGAGGTTCTTGGTGCATTGGCGGAAACTTCAATGGGACTCTCTCTATACATGATCATCGATCTAATATGCAAACAAGTAGCTTTATTGATCGTGAGTTGAGTGTTTAGGCAGAGGAGTTGGCTTTGTCAGACTTAGGTTGTTTTAGGCCTTATTTCACCTTGAAGAGGAGATGTAGTGAAAGTAGGTTGGATAGAATTCTTGTTAACTTTGAATTCCTTACTACTTATCTGAAGGCTTCTATGCTGCATCTTCCTTTCTTTAAGTCTAATCATCAAACTATGCTGCTCCCTTTGGGAGAAGATGGTAATAGAAATGCTAGCAGGGAAGCTCCTTTTTGTTTTGTTGCATCTTGGAATCTTCATGAGAAGTTTTCTTGCTAGTTTTTTGGAAGAGGCATGGCGTGGTGATAAGATAATATTAGCCATACTACTTCATAATTGTGGGTTTGGAGCCGAGAGGTATACAGGCATTTGGGTTGAAAATGAAGACACCTTTAAACAAGCTTTAAGACCATAATAACTTATCCCATAAGCGATTCAATCAACAATCTATAGACCTCCTTCTCTAAAAACTTTGGCGTGAACTTAAAGAAGTTTTAATTCAAGAAGAGCTCATTTGGGCTCAGAAGTCTAAGTGTAATTTCTATGTTCTTAGAGATAGAAATTCGAAATACTTTCATGCTAGGATAAATGCTAGAAGACAAAGAAAAAAAATTGAGGCCTTGAAGAGTGATATGGAACTTGGATTTTTGAGAAAGGAGAAATTAAGGTTAATGCTTTATCATTTATCATAATTTGTTCCGAGAAGATGGTTGTAATTCTTATTATTAGTTTGGTCCCTTTTCCTATCCAAAAATTAGAGAATGTGCAGGAGATATCCTCTTTGGGGAATGCAGTAACAGGAGACAAAATTCATCAGGCTATCTTTAACATGGGTAATCTTCAGTCTCCTTACCTTGTGGTTTGAGTGCTGTCTTTTATTAGAATCAGTGGAATTTAGCAGGTACTTCTATTACTAACTTTGTTCAAGTGGCTTTCAAGAATCCTTCCATTATTGAAGAAGTTAATGGTACTTTCCTTGTCCTTGTTCCTAAAAAAGATCAAGCTGAAACAATCCATGATTTTCACCCTATTAGCCTTTATAACGTTATATACAAGGCTATAATAAAAGTTGCTGCTAATAGGATTAAGGGAATTTTGCCTTTCATTATTTCTCCTAATAAAAATGGTTTTGTTCCTGGTAGATTGGGCTTAAATAAGGTTATTCTTGCACTGAAAGTTGTTCACTCTATGAGGACAATAAAGGGTAAGAGGGGATTTATGACTATCAAGATTGACTTTAAGAAAGTTTATGTCAGGCTCCGATGGAGTTTCATTATGCAATGCGTTATGAACTTAAGCTCCTACCTTATATTTTAAACGTGGTTCGAAAATGCATCACATCACTTATTATGCAAAATCTGTGGGAAGAAAGACTCAAGATTTCTTTCCATTGTGAGGCATTTGGCAAGGTTATCCTATATCTCTGTATCTTTTTTGTCATTTGTATTGAAAAATTGGCTTACTAGGTACAAGAAGAGATTCATAAGAAAAATTAGAAGTTCATCAAACTCAACAAAGTTGGTCCACTTATTTTGCATAGTTACTTTACAGATGATCTTATTATTTTTGCGAAGGCTTTTAAGGACCACGTGGAAGTGATCAGGAGATGCTTGGATACTTCCTGCAATGTTTCTAGCCAGAAAGTTAGTCAAAGCAAGACACGTCTTCTTTTTAAATAATGAAAATCATATGCATATTGCCCAACTGCGTGAACAGCTTGGGTTTCTCTTTTACATCTGATCTCAAAAAATATTTAGGAGTTCCTTTGCACTATGATAGAATTAAAAAAGATACATATCAGTACATGGTGGATAAAGTCAAAACAAAACTAACTAATTTGAAGGCAAACTCTCTTTCACTAATAAGCAGACACACAATTGTCACCTCTGTTGTGCAAGCAATTCCTTTGTATCCTGTGCAGAGATGTGCGCTCCCTTTAGCTGCCTATGGTGATTTGGAGAAAAGTACTAGATGATTTCTTTAGGTATCTACTGATGAAAAAAAAAATAAGAATTCATCTTGTAGCTTGGCCTAAGGTTTGCAAAGAGAAGAGGAAGGGCGTAGATTGGGAATTTGGCATGTGAGACTTCAAAACAAGGCTTTTATGATGAGGGTAGGATGGGGATTAATGAAGAACAAAGATGCTTTATGGGCTCAAGTAGTTAGAAGTAAATATAAGTGTGGGGCTGGTTAATCCCAGAGATTGTGTGGAGGTTAAATCCATGCGGTTTTCTATCATCAAACCGAGTATTATCTCTAGTTTTTTTCAATTGTAATATGTGAAATTGGTGCTCTTTAAACATCAATGCAACAATGGGGTAGGAAGCAGAGAATTAGAAGGAATTATTTGTTGTTATGTGCTGGCTCCTTTGGAAATGAAGAAATGAGCAAATTTTTGAAAATATTAGTACTGTCGTCAACGACTTTATATGAAGGCTAAGGCTATTGTTTCTAGCTATCATGAGGCACATCTAAGCCTAAAACAAGTTAATCTCCAAGGAGCTATGACGAATGAAGGGAATCCTCCTACGTTACAAGAAGTTTGGAGATGGTTCGTGTTGATAGAGCTTATTCTCACTTTAGTGATGATACGAGTTGTGGGGTTATTATTAAAGATAATTATCACTCACCTCTGGAAACTTTTATGCTTAAACTTCTGGATAGAGATCCTCTTATTGGTAAACTATGAGCTTGTCTTATGGGGCTTTGGCGAGCATGGGACAGGGGGACATTGAAAGGTGTGCTTGAGAAATGACTCTTTGAAGGCCCTCAATCTAATTAAGGGTGGGAATAGCGATACTCATGGTAGTTGGAACTTGATCCTCCAATGTCACAATGTGTTGTCTCGTAATTGGGTTGTTGAGCTTGGCTTTGTTAGAAGAGAGCCTAATATGGACACTTATTATCTTACAGAGTGTGCTATGGCACTGTCGCCTGAGCTTCATTTTCTACCTTTAGAGGATCTACTACTGTTTTGTAGACAGGCTGTTTGCTTTTTGTATTCTTCGTTTATTAAAAAAAAACACAAAAGTAGAATAGTATAAAATCTGCATCAATAACAAAAGCCCCGTTTCGTTATTAGAATAGATTAAAAAATAAAATAAAAATAAACTAAATCACCCTTACTCTTATGATAAGTATAATAAAATTCATTAATGTATACTATAAATATGAGAATTATCACACTTTTCAAAATTTTATAAATCATGATTTCTAACCTATAAATTAAATTATCCTTTTCTTTTATGAATGTGCTCACCGATTGCCTTTAATCATATTATGTTTACTTTTATTTTTTTAATCTATTCCATTCAATTTATTTCTAATAAGCAAACAGGATTAAAGTGTTTGATAAACAGCTTGAAAATTCAGCCTTCCCAGTTCCTATCTGAGAGTCAAAATAAAACGGAAATTAAAATGTTAAAATAAAATCATTTGTTAATAGAAAGTCTGAACTACCCTTTGTCTTCCAGAATTAGATTTTCTCATGTCTTTGTCATGGGGCACTCTCCTGCATGCCCCATGACATTTTGCCCAAGTCCCAAAAAACACATGTGGTATGACGGTAAATTCTTCGTAAACACAAGTCCCAAAAAAACATTTTGCCCACTGGTGGAAAGACCAGTTGTCAGAGGACACTGGTGAGAAGATGCAACAGGAGAGACATTTTGCCCTTCGCCTCCTTCCACTCTCCCAACTATTGAAACTATCATATAAACTTTAACTTAATTTCTTATATTACACGCACACACTATATGCAAATTATTCTTTACACCTTTACACACATAAAGCACATATACATAAGAATAAATTAATATAACCTGTACAATATAGTATCTGCATTAATCATATATACAAGTTTCTTCATGAGCCATATATTCGCTCTCTCTCAAGTCTTAACTGAGGTCTACAAATACAATGCAAACATGAGTATTAACTGTTGTGGCGCACTAAACAAACTGTTGAATCAAAGGAGGATGATTATGCACATGCACAGTCAAAAAACAACAGCTACAGAGAGCTCCAACAACGTTTGTAGTCCATTAATTTAGAATAATCAAGAGATTCCACCGACACCAAGACATTCTGCTTCTGTTGCAAGGGTCCAGTGATATGGCCACTGCAATGCCTCCCCAGTCACTTTCCCCCGTCATCAATCATCAAATACACCCCACATGGTGCACGAAAAACAATGGCGTTTTCTCTGCTAGTCTTTTGTTTGATTCATGACACCCTCCTAGCTACCAAACTATGCTACATGGACCATATTATATGTAAATTAATTACCAGAGTACTATAGACTATGATGCTCAACTTCACGTACCAGTACGGGAAGCCCACATCTGAAAGTGGCCGTGAGTCCAGGAGAGAACCTTGGGGTGTGACTAGGAGACACCAATTCGATCTGGAATCGTCGGAGCAATGAAAGTGCCACGCTTTTGAGCTCCACCATGGCCATCTCTTTGCCCAAGCACACCCTTAGGCCGGCTTGGAAAACCGGGTACTTGAACGGATTTTCTGGGTAAAACTGCCCATCCCTCAACCACCGTTCGGGTTTGAATTCAAAGCAATCTGGACCCCAAATTTCCTCCAACCGACCCATGGCATATGGATGGTAAGTAACCCTAGTTCCACTTTTCACGGCCGTCCCATCGGGCAACACATCGTCTTTTAAGCAGAACTTTGAATCAAATTGGATCGGAGGGTAAAGCCTCATGCTTTCGTACGCTGCCGCTTGTAAATAGTGCAGTTGCCGCAACTGTTCCAGGCTCGTGAGCTCTTTTTGGGGTCCGATTAATTTGTCTGCTTCGCGCCGAATCGCTGATTCTACTTCTGGGTGTTTGGCCAGTAGCCAGAAGAAACTGGTCAGTGCTGAAGCCACCGTGTCACGACCAGCCAATAGGAAGCTTATAACAATATCTCTCAAGTACGTGTCGTCGTGTACAGTGGTCATGAACTGTGATAGCAAATCTTTTTGAGCGGAAAACCCGATTTTTCGCTTTTGCCTTATCACCTCTTTGGCTAACAGATTAATCATTCTGATCGCTTTTTTGAGTCTCTTCTCGCTGCCCAGATTGAGCATCCTTTTGATCTTCCACACCAAAGGGGAAACTGCCATCGCTCTCTCTGCTGATAACTTGGAAGCCAGGTCAAAGGAATCGGCGAACTCCGACATGGGCAGAGACAACTCTAGGCACTTAGGGTCAAGCCCGAAGGAGAATCGACAAATGCTATCAAACGAGAATCTTCTAAAAACATCTTGTAAATCCAAAACGCTGTCTTGCTTTGACAACAGAAGTGGGATGAGGCGATGTTGGATTTCACAGTTGACAATCTCAAAAGCGAAGGATCTGACGGAGGACTTGTTAAGCTCCAAGCTGGCCATCTTTTTCTGAAACTTCCATAGTTCGCCGTCTACGTTGAAAATACCTCGCCCTAGGAAATCGCCCAGGATCATGGAAAAAGTTCTCCCTTTTGGGAAATTATTAAATTTTGTCTTCAGCATGTACTCGACGTTTTCTGGGTTCGCGGTGATCGTGTTCCCAAGAACGTGGATGTGGATGGTTTTAGCAGGGGAGTTTCGAAGAAGGTGAGCCAACCAATCGCAAAGATTAGGAAAGTTTTTTGACCAGCTTGAAGTGAGATAAGACTGGCAAGTTTCGCAGCTACAGAGAGCGTTGAGCTTGGGAAGTAACGAATGTGAGAGAGACAGGAGCGAGAAAGTTAAGAAGATGATGGTGGTGGTTGAAAAAATAGGTAAGAGCTAAAGAAAACACAGAAAGGCTGAAAGGAGGCCCCAAGTTCCATAGTGATGGATAATATTTTGGATAAAGATAAACAGAGGAATTAGGGACGGAAGGATAGGGAAGAAGAGAAAGTAGAAGGACTGCCATTGGCTGTGATGTAATGGCTATATATACGTGGGATTGATTTCATATAGAAACTGTTTTCATCATTAAATATACAACATTATCATTATATTATAGTATTATAATTAGTGGTATATACAGATTATTACATACTGTATTAGTATAAGAGTATTACATTATAGAGTCCAGTATAAGGAGTAGACTGTAGAGCATTGTTGTAGTGTAATGAAGAAAGAAACGAAGAAACCGTGCACTGACTAGAAAGCATAGTTTCCAAGACCCATGATGTATTGTCCTGTGTGCTGCATCAGTACATCGATCATATATTTACCTCACGTGTTTTAATGTGAGGGTCAGCCTCTTACACACACACGCGCACACATTGGTTTGAATCTGTGGGATGCATTCCAGCCCCACCGCACGATCATTGATATTCGATCTCTGCCAATCACGAAGTGGGGAATGGGGCGCATCTGCTGTGAATAATGCTTTAATCCAGAGATCGACCAACCATATGGAATTTTTTTCCACAAAAAAAATAATTATACTTTGGAGTCATAGAGACATATATAAACGTTTTGAAATATCGTAAGAAATAGATTATGGCCCCACGTCTAAGCTTTCATATTTTATAAATAATGCAGTTTTTATATATCTGTTTATATATTGATGATTATTGATATTAATGATATATCCAAGAATACACAAATGATGATATCGATTACTATTTGCCAAACGAGGTGTGTACAACTGCAAAATTTACAACAGCGGTTTCCACTTTCATTTTTCTAACTAAGCTTTAATTTCAGAATTTATAAATCTTTCACGATGTACAACTGATTTGCATAGTATTTTGATTTTTTTTTTTGGTAAGTCGAAAATAAAGCTAATATTTTGATTTTTATAACGAAGCTCTTAGAATTTTCAAATTTTCAGACATTTTATAATTGTTTGATTTCTAATTAAATTATAGTATCATTAAATTAAGAAAAAATGACGGATTAATTACAAGAGCGTTTTATCCAGATATTTAATTTTAAACAATTATTATAATTAATTTTTTAAACTATGTGAGTTAATTAAGATTTACTTTTATTTGAAAACAGATTAAATACGTGCTAAAATGCACAAACACAATTTTATCAAGTTGCTTTTTTTAATATTAGTAGTCCCTGTCTGCGTGACTTCATAAATTATGGTCTTTTAATGTCATTTTTTTGGATTCTATAGTCCTCCAACGTCATTCTCTTACAGCTACAAGCTTCATTCAAGGCTGCAGATTTCCTTTTTTTAAAAAAAAAATAAGCAGATTTCCTTTAAATGCAACTTCCTCTTTCTTTTTTTTGACCACTAAATGCAACTTCCTCTTTAAATTTGTCTTTTATAAATGGACCAAAACATTCAAATAATGTAGCACTCGTGTACTACACAGGAACCCTAGTAAGATACTAAATCCTGAGTGATATGTACTGATTAGCCTTATTTCTTTTCTATTTTTCCTCAATTAAATGACTTTTTGAAAAGCGTATCCTATGATAACTTTTAGTCATTTTAATTTTAACATTATTATTTTTAAATAATTTTTATCAATTATTATTATTTTACAAAAAATTAAATTTAATAAGTTAACATTTAAAAATATTTTATCAATATTATTTAAAAGTTCAAGATAAATTTTTTTATGATAAAACTAACTGTGTTAGAATTAAATAATTAAAGTATGCAAAGATCAAAATAAAATATTGTATAAAGTTAAAAAATTAAAAGAATATTTTAGCACTTTAATTTTTATAAAGCTATTTTTAAAAAATAATTAATTATACCTAAAACCCTGAGCTAAGGCTTGCATCTAGGGGGACAAAATAAATGTAATTAAGATTTATAAACAGGAAATGACGGGGCAGTATATGTTTATGCGTGAGTCCAAGATTCCGAATTTCAAATTCAAATGCACGTTTCTCAGAATAATAGATCGACTAGGCTACCAAACTTGGAAAAAGTATTACTCTTTTTATTTAAAAATATAAAATATTTTTAAAAAAATTAAATATTTAAAAATATAAAATATTTTTAGTGTTTGAATATATAATTATTACATTTTTACTAAAAGTACTTCTAATAAATAAATTATTTTATATTTATTTTAGAATATAAAACCCTATTAAATAGAGATAAATATAAAAAGATAGTATTAATTTAAAAATAAATAATTACTTTAAAAATAATAATTGTGATGGAACTAAAATTGTAATAACATAAATAAATTTATCATCATTTTTCATTTTAAAAAAATTATATTGAATAAGTTAGTATAGTTTTTTATTATAAGTATGCTCTTCATATTTTATTTAAATTATCAAAATATTATATATCTAGTGTTTGAACCCAAATATTTTTATTTAGTTCAGAAGATATAAAATAGCAAGAGTAGAGGGTACAAAGTTATAAAATTTATATACCCCACTCATAATTTTTTTCAAAGTTTGGGGGCGCATTTGCACTCCTCAAGCTAATGTGGCTATGCTCTAACATATCTTTTGGATATGTTGAGTGATCAATATAAAAAATTTTTATAACGTAAAATATAATAAATCAGTCACACTGTACATTAATAATAAATTTTTTGTATATCAGTGTAAATCTACCACACTTTCAAATTTGTTAAATTTTGGTTCATATTTTTTGGGTACAATACTTTTTTCAACTAATGGACTAATTTATCTTATTATTAATTGTTGGAGTATTTTATTTTTAAAACATGTAGGGATATATTAAATGGAATAAAGTTAAAAATTTATTAAATTTTAAAATGTAATTAATAAAATTTAGTGCTTTTCTTAGTTCTGATAAAGCATGTTGAAAATGGCTAATACATATAAGGGAAAAGGGTAAAGTTATTTTCATATAGCTTCCAGCAATTTAATTCATGCAGTTGTTGACTTGATGCCTCTGTCACCGGTAACTGCAGACAATTCCAATTTAACTCTAACTTGGCTTAGTAGTTGTAATCATTAATCATTAAGTATACTGCCCTAGTGTTATGTACTCTCTTTAATTCTTTTTATATGTTATTTCTAATTGCTTTACCAAAATTAATGATAAGTGATTAGATTACTGAGATTGTCTCCAAATGAAATAAGTTTCCCTACTTACCCTTGATAAATGCTTTAAAAGCATTTGTTCTCTCGTATAACTTTTTATTCTCTACTCATCAAAAATTGTGAAAGGATATGTTTGAAAAAATTCATTAATAATTCATTTTTTTAATGCAGAATGGCTTATAGAAAGGATGATGAATTTCTTCTAAAATATTTTCCTCAACTTTTGAAAGTGGTATAATCTTGCTCCTATCATTAACAATTGCTAACTTTGACTGCTCATTAGCTAGAAATTAATAAGAAAAAATCTTTAAAATAACCAAAAAGTTACAATAAAGAATCCAGAAATTATAAAAAAATGACCAACTATTTTTGTCTAGTCATTTTCTATAATTTTTGAGATATTTTTCTATCATTTTTTGATCAACTAATGATCAATATTAACTTTTATTAACTGTATAAATCAAATTACACTATTTTCAAAAGTTAGGAAAGTAATTTGTGTAATAAATGAGTTCAAGTCCATAGTGCTATTGAACATAAAGTTTAATAAGTAATTTGATCATTTATTCTATATTTAATGTAGAAAAAATAGAAAATTGGTTTAATTTTTAAACAAAGTTAATTAATAATAACGTTTTTCTTCATTGTGGTAAAAATGCCAAGATTGGTTGATGGATAGAACTATAAAAAGTAAACTGATAAAATGCTTAATAAAAAAAAATTGGACAAGAAATGCTTATTTTAAAGAAAAAATATATGTGCAGGTCTGTATAGTTTCACTCAACTTTAAATTAGGTCCCTATAGCTTATTTTGTTTTAATTAAACTCTTATAATTTAATCAATTAAATTTTTTAATACTTAAAAGTTAAAATCCTTAAATTTTTCTTTAAAAAATAAAATTAAGAACCTTTATTTTTTATTAAATGATTATACGACTTTATAATTAACTACTTAATTTTTATAACTCAAATTTATATAATTAGGTTGTTTTCTAAATAATTACTACTAGAAAAAAAAGAAATTACTGATGAAAAAAATCAGTACAACCCATCACCAATTTTAGATTTGATGACCAATCATCCCTCACAATTTTAGTGACAAAAAGAATCTGCATTGCCTCATGTCAAACAAAAATCTCTATCTTTTCTTATGCATTTTTTGCTAATTGAGCTATAATTAATGACTTTTCAATTTTAATATGCAAAATTATATATATACACACACACACTACTTAATTCAATACATATATTTAAGTTAATATATTTTTAAAATATTTTTGTTAGTATTTAAATATGTTGACAAATATATTGGCATATATACACACTAACGCATGTAAAAATATAAATCAATATACATATTATTTAATATCAATTAATATATATTATGAAAAAAATTTTTTTTATATCAATTTATATCATCCATATTAAAATTAAAATATTTTCATATTATAAAATTTTATTTTTACAATAAAATTTACATAATAAAAGATAAAACTATTTGTTATGCTTTCATATCATTTTATATTGTGTATTTTATTATAATAAAACAAAAAAATACTTGTCTTGTTATTTAAATTGGTGATTTTTATTTTTTTTCATATAAATTATATATATATATATGTATATATTATATTTTTTATTTTTATAAAGTATTTAAGCATATTTTATTAATTTTTAAATTAAAAATACATGTCGCTACTCACTAGTATAAAGATTTAGTGATAGAAGCTGTTGACAAATTTAAACTTGTTATTAAATTTATGATATTTAATTAAAATGTGATGACATCCTATATCTATTACTAATTTATATAATCTGTGATAGATTTTAGCTTCTCACAAAATTTTTGTCATTAATTCTAATAATTAATAACAAATTGGAGATTCATCACTAATTTTAATTTCTTTAGTAGTATGTATTTTTTATACATATAGAATTTTCACAAAAAATTAATAATTATAAATAATGCATGAAATTGAATTTTTTTTAATTCTAGCAAAATATATTAAATTAAATTTTCTATAAACTCCAAAAATATTTTTGTTTTGTGTTCATTATTAGCTAAAATGGCTTGATTAACAGAAAATAAACTGTAGGGACCTAATTAAAAATTGAGTTAAATTATAAAGACTTACAAATATATTTTCCTTAATTTAGATGATTCCTG